ATTCCCAAAACCTACATTTCAAAAAAAGCTGGGCATGGCAGTGATCTGTAACAGCAGTACTGTGTGGGTCAGACAAGGACAATGGATCCATAAAGCTCATTGGCCAATCAGCCTAGCCAAAACAGTGAAAGTTCCATGCAGAACTCTGCCTTAAAACATAAGGTGGAGAGCCACAGAAGGAAACACCTAACGTGAACCTCTGGTCTTTCTTGGTTCTAGTCTCCACATGTATGCTCACACATGTACACATACCTATCTGAACCCGTACATGTAGCACACAGAGACACATTCATGCTCACCTGTGTGCAATGTACCCACATGCAAATACACATGTCTATCTAAACATGTTGCACATACACCGCATATAGAAACATGTGTACAAAAACTAAAGTCACAAAAAATTATCTTTAGAACATAATCCTAAATGTCAAAATGAACCACAGAGGATTGTGTGTCTCTGTTCAAAAGTGGAAAGCATTTATGAGCGTATTCCATAAAGAAAACCACCACTCTGTTCCTTTATCTGTGCTGCCTGAGCATCTCCAGACCCTGTTTTTGCAAATATGAGACTCATTGGTGATGCGTGCCTGCTACATGTACCAAAAGTAACGAGGGCTTCCTAGTATTGTTCTAGAACAAGAACCAGGCAGCATCGCTCCAGGAAGGGACTGCTGAGCCATCGGTTGCCTTTTTAGTACCTAAGTGATTTCTAGCATGGCACAAGTGTAAGGCTAATTCATTAAAGGGGAAGAAATCTATAAACACCTGCATGTAGTTGACTAGTAAGTTGGGGCTTCTGTAACTGACTGATTCTTTATCCCTCCACTCAAAAGGACCTACTAAAACCAAGAGCCAACTACTGCTGTATTAGCATGGTGCCAATTTATGGGAGATTCTTATTTACATAAAGTGGATCACGTTTGGAATCCTCAGTTCCACCTTCCCTTAAAGTTCAGTACTCTCTTGTTCTTGGTTCACTGCATTAAGAATTGTGGGTAATCAGATGGTGTCATTTGTTTTACACAAGAGAGAATTGAGTGAGGAAAGAGTAGCTTTCAGGAGTGTTTTCACAGATAATAAACCTACCCCGCATTCATTAAACACCACACAATTGCAGATTTGGTTCTGAATACATTTTAGTAATGTGCATGTATGTGTGTGTGCATGTGTGTGCACATGATTGAGCGTGTGTATTGGACATGAACTTAGAGTTAAGTATAGTTCAGGCCAAAGATTTTCAAGCATCCAGGGACTGTATCTACATCAGACGAGTGTCCCAAGAAGCAGGATTAGACTTCAAAGGATGCTCTGGTGTCATCACCATGTTCTAGGCAATGAGCTGCAACAAAACCAGACAGCCCCCTTGAAACTGAGAACTAGGGAGTGTGCCTGCAAGTACCCTCAGCAAAGAAACAGATGACACTGTCACAATACCTATTTATATAAAACCAGGTCTGCCAGTCCCTTTTGTTTCTCTGAGCCCATTTGTAAGATTTTGCTTTGTGAACATGAAATGCTCTTAGCCTGCATTACCTACAGAGTGGGAGGCAGTGAGGAGGCAGCCACCCCAGTGTAAGCATCCAATTACACTGACCTACACATTAAGAAAGTTCCTTCATTTTCTCTTATATTTCAAGCCTGTTGACTTCAAGGAGAACATCTCTCAAATCTGATGATGGCATATCTAACAGATTATTACCACAACAAAAGTGCCTGTTTTTTCTAAGTAAAGAAGCAGACAGAGCCCAGGTCAGGTCCCCTGAAAATGTGTAAACTTGGGCATTCATGTAGTGAATTTGGGGAAAGGTTGGACGTAGGGCATTTGATGAGGTTTCTTATAGAGGTTCTCTGCCATGTCTGGTCCCCTTCATTCTCTCTGCTAAGTGCTGAAATAGATCACCAAAGTCATGGCTAATTGCATCAACTGTGTGGATCCTTGGATTGGGGGTCAGAGTAGTATCCCAGGAATGTATTAGTAAATAAACTGGAAGCTCTTTCTCCCTGTGTATTTGGTAGCCACACCCAGAGCCATCTGTCCTGTCTCTTACAACCACCCCCAACCCTGTCCCTGTGATCATATAGTTGGTTAGAACATGCACACAGCTCACAATGACCCCAACCCCCACAGCCAGAAACATAAACAAGAGTCAAAATGTGTTTTGCTTCACCTGAGAAAGCACAGTGAGGGGAGGGAACTAGCAAAACATTAGTCATTAGCCTTAGTATCAGGCAGAATTAAACATTGCATCTATAAATAAAAGCCAGGGAGAGGAAGTATCTTGGTAATTCAAGTGGAGAGTGATCAAGGAAGATGCCTGGCATCAGTTTCTGGTGCTACACACATTCACATGCAACTGCCACACATACAAGACATGCACACACAAATAGAGTACATGGTAAATGCTAGTAAGAAATTACTTCAAATTATATGTGTATTTTATAGGAGAGCAACAAGAAACAAGAGTGGATGGTATCTACTATGATATTGTTAAGAGAGAGAGAAAGAATATATGAGAAAATCTATACATAGACCTGGGGAAGGAAACATACAAAGCCAGTATAAAGCCAGCCCCCTGGGGGGAGGACTATAGCCCCCTGTGGGGGAGGACTACAGCCAGAATCTAAGGAACAGTGTTGTTGTGGTCATATTTATTCTTATTTTCTTACAAAAATCAGCATACGTGTACTCAAAATACTTTAGAGAAAAATAAAAAACTAAGATCATCAGAGATTATGCTCAATTAGGTAAATATAAATTGTAACCACATGAGCACTACAATAAAAGTTGTGGGAAGAAGCAGCAAGGACGACCCCCCCCCACAGACCAAACGCGCGCGCCGCTGTATACCCGCGTTCAGCGCCGACGTCCCCTGCCGCCATGCCCAAAAGAAAGGCTGAAGGGGATGCTAAAGGAGACAAAGCCAAGGTGAAGGACGAGCCACAGAGAAGATCTGCAAGATTGTCTGCTAAGGGAGAGAAAGTACCCAAGGGGAAGAAGGAGAAAGCCGACACGGGCAAGGATGCGAATAATCCTGCAGAAAATGGAGATGCCAAAACAGACCAGGCACAGAAAGCGGAAGGTGCCGGAGACGCCAAGTGACGTGTGTGCATTTTTGATAACTGTGTACTTCTGGTGACTGTACAGTTTGAAATACTATTTTATATCAAGTTTTATAAAAATGCAGAATTTTGTTTTACTTTTTTTTTTTAAAGCTATATTGTTAGCACACAGAACACTTCATTGTTGGGGGGGGGAAGGATCATGTGTCACTAACAAAATATCTCCCAAGCTGGACTGAGGACAAAAAACTCTTTCCTTGATAATTTTGAAAGGCTTCTGTTGGCTTCCAGGAGAGACGTCTTGGTCTTGACATAGGAGGCCACCAAGGCACAACAAATTGCCTTGTGGTCTGGTAAACTCTAAATTCATTTTTATATGCTCTTCCCCCTGTACCATCAACAGACTTAATTCCCTTAAGACCAGAGACCTTTTGGAACCTGGCCCCCAAAATTGGTTTTCCAGTGTATTGGGCGATATGGACTTTACAGTGACATCACTGAGTGTTCTCAGAAGAGCACTGGTTCCTTTTATAAAAGATTGTGGATCTTCAGATTGATAATTCTGCCATGTTCATTCCTGAAAGTCAGGGTCGGCTTGTGAAAAGTTGTTAAACAACATCCTTAATGTGAAATGTCAACCCTCACTCTAAGCTACTCCCCATTTTCAAAGCGTTGAATGAAGGTTTCATTGGGTTTTATAGTGGCTTTCTGATTTTGGTAGTCTATACAAGAAGGGAATTTGGAAGTTCTTGTATATCGTTGATTGTCTGCCCATGTCCTGTCTGAAATACCATGATTGTTTATGAAAAGTATCTTTAATAAAGCTGGTTACAGTTAGGCTTGGAAAAAAAAAGTTGTGCTAAAATAAAAGTTCTAGGTGCCATATTAGAAGCAACCAGTATAAACTTAGAAATTAAAGTATTACCAATGCTAATGTTAAAAGTAGACCGTCTTAGTTAGGGTTTTACTGCTGTGAACAGACACCATGACCAAGGCAACTCTTATAAAGGGCAACATTTAATTGGAGATGGCTTACAGGTTCAGAGGTTCAGTCCATTATCATCAAGATGGGAGCATGGCAGTGTCCAAGCAGGCATGGGGATGGAAGAGCTGAGAGTTCAACATCTTGTTCCAAAGACAACTAGGAAAGGACTAGCTTCTAATCCGTATTAAAGCCCATGCCCACAGTGACACACCTACTCCGACAAGGCCACAACTCCTAATAGTGCCACTCCCTAGGCCAACCATATACAAACCCACACCTAATCAAAAATATACCTAAACCTACACAAAGCAGTGTGTCAGAAATGATATCAAGTCATAACTTTCCCAAATGATTGAATTGGTTTTGTAGAAACAAAAGTGTGGGGGGGAGCAAATGGAACATTACTAGAACTTAATTTTTATTTCTTTAAATTATTTTATTAGAAGTGCAGCTGAGGGAACCCAGATAATATTTGTATATGGAAATCACCAACCTCTTCCTAGCCATAGCTAATTTAAAAGTTCAACTTTTAAAAATAAAAAGAATCACCAAAATCCAAACCCAGAAAGACAAACATGGCATGCTGTCTCTTGTATGTGGATGCTATGAAGACATGGGGGAATTTCAAGGGAGAGGGGATAGATTACGAGTGGTATGAAAGGGGGAAGGGTATAGTAAATCATGAAGGATTGGGTCAGGTGGGGGTTGGAAAGACAGGATGCAGGAGGGAGTATCGGGAAAGATAACTAAAGACCTTTGAAAATGTCATGTAGAAACCTGTTACTGTAAAACCTTCTTAAACACACATACACAGGCACATGCATGCGCATGCACATGCACACTTGAAGTTTAAATGAAATTACCCTACAACAGGAGCAATCCTTCTCCTAAACATCACAGGCCTGGAGATGAAACAGAATCGAGGCGACTTTTTGCCACCTTTGCATTGTTTACAATTTCAAAATGAAAATCTAATCATATATGAAGTACAAAGTTTTAAAAACACCCCCAAAGGTTAACAGGACAATCTTAACAGTTTATTTACATATGCATATAGCTTCACATACCTTCTTAAGAATTTGAATATTTTCAACCTTATAAAATCACAAAAGCATTTCAGCTATTATGGGGTGGTGTTGAATCAGAGTCTTGATGAACCCCTGATGGAACGACATCAGAAACCTCATCAAGAGCCTCCGGAAGGTTCAGGGACCCTGCACAAGCCTGTAGAGAGACAACCTTTGGGTCAACAGCAATCTCTCCATTTGCCTCATTTCCCAAAATCTTTCCACAGCTTTGGTTGTAAACAAACTTCAACTCATTCCACTTCTCATCATAGCATCTCGGAAAGCGTCGGAACGTTGAGATCACCACGGCTTTCTTAGGTACGTAGGATGTTTGGTTACTTGAAAGACCATCAAAGCTGGACGGGATGTAGTCACAGGCCCAGAGATTGAAATTTCTAGAAATGTGTTGCTTTTGATCTGAGGAAAACTTCTTGCGCCCCAAACCCTGGGGAAGAGGAACAAGATTAGGAGAGAGATACACAAGGTCACACAGTTCTGAGGATTTCAATGAAACCACCTAATGACGTGCATATATTTAAATGCATAGCTAAGATAACCATTAGAAAAGCCAACTTGTTGAATATCAAAAGTCAATGACATCCTGGCAGTGCCCTGTCACTATTCTCAGCTTTTTTTCCACCAAGGGGACTGGACTTTGAGGACAATGAAGGTAAAACCAGAGGAAGCCCAGCTGGATATAACCTGTTAAGCATCTTCAATTCCCAGGGTTGCAGCACTCCTGGCTGCCTCTGAAAAACTAGCAGGTTGACTTCTTTTCCAACCCTGTGGTATCTCCCAAAGGAAGCAGGACCTCTGGTCTCTGCCTGCAGGCTTGCTTGCTAACAGTCAGCACCTTACATGCGAACCTGAGAATCAGCCCAGATTCAGAAATGAACGTTTAATTGATCACAATGGGCTGAAAACTAAGAAAGAAAGTGGGATGTTGGGACAAAGGACTGAAAAGGAGACAGACACCAGATTACACAAGCTCTGTACCAGTATAATGAGGCTGCCTGCTCCAAGAGCCCATCAACAAGGTGGCAACAGGGCCCTTGGGTGGGATGCTTGAATCAGGGTGAAAGAGTCTACAAAGTGCCACAGCTGGTATCTGCCTCCCTGCTTCCACCTCAAATCCAACTAACTGGGGATGGAAAATTAGTGTGTGTGTGTGTGTGTGTGTGCGTGTGTGTGTGCGCGCGTGTGTGTGTACCAAAAATACTCTATCACATCTGAACCGAACATGTATAGACTTTCATTAGCATTATTCCCAAACAATATTAAAACTACTTACACAGCATTACACTATATGGTAAGTAGACTAGAGGATTGGCATGGAAAATGCATGATGTTATGTCACTGTCTATAAGAGACAAGCATCTGCTGATTCTGACATCAACAGGGGATCCCAACCAATCCCCATAGATATCCAGGAATAACTGCATTCACATATTGTAAAAGTAGGTAGACTATGGGGAAATGTCCAGGCACAGTGTAATGGCTCCTGATGTACAACCTGTACAGACCAGCCTGTGAGGCTAGGGCAGGAAATAAAGAGGGGAGGACAAAGAGAAGATATTGGTCAAATTACATCTTTTTGAGAAGTGACCTGAAGATGCTCCAGCAAAATAGAAAGAAATAAAAATTCTATAAACAATATAGGAAAGAGCTACAAGGAAAGTGGCCAGTAACAGAAGTTAAAATCGGTGCTGGACACCTAAGAGGAAGGAACAGGGAGCTGGGGTGGGGCTTGGGGGAGGGGAGCAAGGGGTGCTTGGACAGGGAAAGGAAGTAGAAGAAGGCAGGAGGGAAGGGAGGGAGAGAGGAAAAGGAAGACTGGAGGGAAATTGCAGGATTTTAACCAGACCAGGGAAATCAAGACCAGTGGCTGAGCTGAAAATGGAAGCCCCTTTAGGGATCATCCACAGCCTAGGAGAAGCCAGCCAGGGCCACCACCCTATCAGCCTCAGGAAGGAAAGAGCAGAGGAAAGGCACTCAGGAAGGGGCCCCTATGTCCTAGGGGAAGTCTGCAGGGTTTGCTTTTGTTTTTTGGGGTGTTTGTTTGTTTGTTTCCGTTCTTATCCAGAGAGAAGTGCTTTATTAGCACACATTTTAAACATTTGTATTGGAAGTTAACTATTAGTAAAAAGTCAGCTGAAGTCAGGATATGCAAATAGAATAAGCAACCAATAGAGCAATGTGGGAAGGAAGAAAGGAAGGGAGGAAGGAAGGAAGGGAGGGAGGGAGGGAGGGAAGGGGGGAGGGAGGGGAGGAAGGGGGGAGGGGAGGGCGAGAGGGAGGGAGGGAGGGAGGGAGAACGAGGATGGCAGATACACAGTAGAAAGTGAGTGGCAGGCATAAAGCCAAAGCTGTCATAATAACATGAACGGTGCAAAGTCCTATTCGAAGAAACAGTGACTCTTGGGTATTGTTTTTCTTTTTAATTGGGCTGCACCCTGCTTATAATGGAAGTTAAACTCAAAGCAAAATGACTAAAGTTCATGAAGACATAAATGAAATGATATATCTGTATCACTCCCCCTCCCACCTAGACTCAAAGACAGTTGTGGAAGAGAAAGCAGAGAGATTGTAAGAGTCAGAGGTCAGGGAGGACTAGAGGTCAGGGAGGACCAGAGGTCAGAGAGGACCAGAGGAAACACTGTTCAGAACCAGACAGGAATGTTGCACTTAGGAACTCACAGCTGCTGGCTGCCTGGGTAAGACCTGGACAAAATCAAGCTAGGCAGCAGTCTAGCATGGAATAGGGAGGGACTCGGTAGTCCCAGCCCCTTGCTGAGGAGTTATAAAGAGCTGATGACTTCCAAGAGAGGGGAGGGAGAGTCTGTTTTCTTGATGGGTATGGCCCATGGCAGGTAAAAAAAAAAAAAAAAAAAAAAAAAAAAAAAAAAAAACACCCTCCAGTGGAAGCCCTCACAGGTATGAGTATACAAGCCTTGGTGGGTTGTTGAAAGAAAAAAGAAAAAAAAAAAGATGTGAAGCTGGGAAGCTGGGGAGGAGTGGGGAGTGGGGAGGTAGGAGGTGGATCTTGGAGTTAGGAGAAAGAATGGGGTGAATATGATCAAAATACATTGTATGTGTTTAGGAAATGCTCAAAGGAATTGTAAAATGTATTTTTAATTCGTGAAGATGAAGGAAGGACACTTCGTATTACAACTCATTGCAGCCCAGAGGCTGAGGGACACTCCCAGTGGAAAGCGGCAAAGTCATCTAGATAAAAATAAAGGAATCATGAATCTTTACGCAACAAGACATGATGCTAAACGATTTAAGGCAAAAACCAAAAAGTGTTGACATTTAAGAGTATCTCTCAGAAGCAGAAATTGACAGAGCAAGACAAAGAGCAAGAAATATTTTACAACATAATTACCAGCCCTCAGTCAATAATTTTGCAATTAAATGAGGGACTATATAATCTTTTTATCACTAATGAGATACTTTAAAATTAATCACATGCAAAAATAATCTCTATCACTCAAAAAGTCAAAATCACAGAGGGCCCTCCATAAAATTAATGGGTCATCAAAATCAGACATCAGCAACAAATTTGTAACCTAACAAATTCTAGCCACATCAGAAATTCAAGGAATCTTCCAAATAGCTCTCAGTTAAAAAGAGAAATTAAAAATTAAATAAAGACTATTTGGAGGCAAATACTAATGAGACCTTAATTAGGTCTGATTAATACCAATTTTAATGATGTGTTTGCCTAAAATGTTACTTGTTCTTTTATTTGCTCATTCTGACTTACAATATTTTCTTAATAGTTACCTTCAAATGTAAATGTTTAAGAAGTGTATTAACCTTGTTTTACATCCCTTGTTTGGCTTTTGATAGATTTTCGTTACTGTAGCAATCTAGAATACACATTAAGCGGGCTAGAGAGAGCTGGCTCAGCAGTTAAAGAGCACGTGTTGCTCTTGCAGAGGACCTAGATTTGGTTCCCGGAACCCACATGGTGGCTCACAGTCATTTCTAACTCCACTTCCAGAGTTTCCAACTCCTCCTTCTGACCTCCATGAGCACCAGGCGTGAAAGTACTGATGTGGTACAGACATGCATGCAAGGCAAAATATTCATACACAGAGAGAAATAAACACTTTATTGTTTAAAACAAGCATTTAAGCTATCCTCTTGGAGAGGGCAGGGTAGGTGTTTCAAGTCTCTACTCAATACTTTGCTAAAGGAGAGACGGCTTTTAGATTAAGTCACTCAGTTTTACTTGAAACACAGTTGCATAGAGGGAAAAGCTTCTCTGAGCTCATTTCAAAATCAAGGATAAGAGTAATTAGCCCATAGGAGTTCTGTGGGGTTTAAACAAGACCATATGAAGCACTGGAGCATAGTCATGGCTTAATAAAGGAAGGATGTTGCTAACAGCACCTTTGTCATGTGGATTTTCAAGTTTGATAAATATTCTTGAAACTCACCTGACATACATTGTTCTGCCTAAGGTACACTAACCTGTAACATCCAGTATAGAAGCCCCAGACCACTAGTTACAGAGCACTTAAATGTAAGCAGTTTACACTGAGATTAGTAACATGTAAATCAGATTTTTAAAAGACTTAATTTGAAAAGGAAAATGTAAAATAACTGATTAATAATTTTTATGGAGGCAGTGAGATTCCTCAACAGATAAAAGTTCTTGTCACTGAGGCTGAAGATCTAAATTCCATCCCCAGAGCCTACATGATGGAAGGTGAGAACCAATGCCTGTAAGTTGTCTTCTGACCTTCACCCATGTCCACACATGCACTCGCACATGTGTGCATACACATGCACACACACACACACACAAAGTAAATTTAAAAAATAAGTTGTTTTAAAGCTTAAGAATTTGCTAAAACATAATTGTGTGTGAATTGCTCTATTATATGTATTACATGTTAAATTGATAATCTGAAAGAAATATTATGTTAAATAAAATATACAAACACCCATAGACGTATGATCAAACAAACCAATGGAAACTGAAAATATTTGAAGTTGAAAGTGTATCTGGACTGGCCTTTGTGGGTTTAAAACAGAGCACATGAAGATGAGAGGGAAAAAAATGTGGTCGCAGGGATAGGAGAGAACTGGAGAGAAGGGGATGGGGTAGGTTTGATCAAAACACATCACATACATGTATGAAATTCTCAAACAATTAAAAACTGCAATTTAAATTTTAAAAAAAATGTTTCTGGTCCTCCTGACCTTGCCTGGCAACACATTAAACTTGTCTAAACACTAAATTTGTCTAATGGTTTGTGTGGCTAGCTGGAAGGTGTGACCCGACACCAGTGACAGACAGAGCCTTGCAAGAAACAAAGATAGAAAATACTTTATACCTGGCAACAGCCCAAGAAAAGGGTGAAATTCTAAGTGTGAAATTTTGCTGAGTGTCACTTTCATAGCACCATAAAGTTGAAACTTTTTAAGTAGACCATCTGTTTTATTAATCTTACCTGGTTTTTAACTGTTCCCATCACCACTAGAAATTTAAAAATCATAGTTGTGGCTTGCGTTATATTTCTACATCCAATGCTATATTAAACTGTTAACAAGTACTGTCAAAACTTAAGCTCTCCAGTGTCAGGGGACTTGCCACCTGAGAGAGACAACTCCAGGAATCTCACAAGAGACAATTTAGGAGAGGACACTTTTGTAACCATTCCTCGTGTGTATGAAGGCAGAAACCTGGTGCAGGCTTAAAAAACTCCATCCAATTCTGAGAGTTTCAAGAGGTAGCTTTTGTTTTATGACTATTCCTGAGTCCTGTAGAAGATGCTGGGTTGTTTTGACATTGCCCTTGTCTTGAGAAACACATGTATCTCCATAATCTGTGCAGCATAAAAAACAAGAGACTGTTCCCCATCCTACCAGTTTCTGGCTTGCTGTGCTAGCAGTGGGATGCTGGATCACCCACATGCGAGGCAACACTGAGCTATACTTGAAGCCATGCTAGTTTGCAAAGAAGTACTCACAGAGTCAAAATAGTATCCAGAGTTCTGGAAACTGTGGCGGTTGTCATGCACAGAGAAAGGGAAGTTTTTGTTTGCTGCTTCCTGGAAAAGAGTGAGGAGAGAGATGAAAAGAACATGTCAGAACTATGAGATGCCCTCAGAACTGAGACACAGTGATAGGGAAGGGAGAGGCATTGGACAAAGGAAACTCTCAGTAAGGCTAATGAAGCCTATCACCAGTGCGGAGTGAACAGCACAGGATATGTGTGCAGGCCTGGGCGGGGCTTCCAAACAATCCCCCCCCCCCCCCCCCCCCCCCGCCCCCCCCCCCCCCCGAACACCTCTTTTAAAATGTCTTTGGAGGCAAGGATGCAAAAGTGCATATACGCACGGAACCAAATGCTGGCAAGGACTTTTGACAGCATGGGAGCCAACCTCTTATCTGACTAATAAGAATGGCAGAAACCAAATCCTGAAAACCTAGACTGATCCTACAAGTCCTGAGGTTGGGTTTCCAGAAGCCTGGAGCCTAAATCAAGGCCCACAGTGAGTGAAGTTGATATTGACATTAAAACAACTCTGCCACCTCCTTCACATTACCAAGGCTGGGGCAGCTGCTCAGGAGCTGGCGAGGGAGGCAGAGGGTGGCTGTTAATGACTAAAGGTTCCTGTGGAGAATCCCAGCTCACTGTTTGGACCGGGAGGCAGTTGTAGCTGCAGAGGACATGGGTCTATCACTGGGAACATGGGTATGGCAGATAGGCAAATGGGTTAGCTGTCTAGCCAAAATGGCACTTCCTCAGAGAGTTCTAAGACTCTATATCTGGGCCCCATACTCATGTCACCTTCTCTCGGATTTTGTAGATTGGTGGCAGCCTCCTCTCCATCTGCTCAGACAAGTGTGAACAGTGGATTTCCTTCAGGGAAGTACGGGTGATGGATTCTGGTGTCTTCTCCATCAGACCAATGTGAGTGAACTGGAAACACAACATGTGTCTTGATTAAAACCAGATACAGTTGAATCTGCGTGCCAAATGTGTGCTTCCTCTGAAACATGGTTAAAACACAATTTGGGCACTTCTTGCATACTCGAGGAATGGTAAAAACCATTTAACTTTGAAGTATTCTTTCCAAACAAACATTTCAAGTCACAGGGGCCTCTTCTTATTCAAGGTCTTAGGGAGCCTGGAAATATTTCCACATTCTAGCAAAGAGATGACAGAACCAAGTGGTCTGAGGTCTTCCTCTGGCTAGGGAGTCCTGGTACCGGAGCCTAGCATCCAGTCCAGGTTCTAAGGACTGGATCTACACTCAGCCTTAGAGGTTGCCAAGCATGCTAGACTAACTGGCCAACAAGCTCTCAGTAAATCTTCCTGTCTCTGCTTCCATCTCGCTACCACTGGGCTTGTAATGGTGTGCCACCATTCCCAGCTTTGTATGTGACTTCTGGGGATCAAACTCATGTCCTTACACTTTCAAGGCAAATGTTTTACCAGCTACACCATCTCCCCACCTGTCTCTTCCCTTTTGAAGTATAAAGACATTGATTAACTCTGTAATTATCTCTCTATTCTCCCAAGTTAAGATACAACTGGACATTCAGGTGACTTTTGATTGGCATCTGAGCAAGAGTGTGCTAAGTAGCTAGGCTGGGAGGTGGTGTTATAAATCCTATGCACTTTATAGGTGTTATCTCTAGCCATGAAGAACTAAAAGACACATAGGACTTGACAGAGTGGGCAGAAGAAAGAAACACAACAGGGTCATAAGGATCAGTTTTATGTGTAGAAATCATGGGGCTGATCATGGAATGATATCTAGTATGAATCAGCTAAAATATGACTGACACCAGGCCTCAGAGGACTGTGAGTCAGCACAAAATGAGTGACATTAGATGACATGGGAACCCCAAGATGGATCAGGTATGTGATCCGTCACAAAATTCTGCCTGCCAGAGTGCTATTTTTATGTGGGTTCTGTATAAATGGACCTTGATGTCAAAGGCCTGAGTCTTTGCCTTTTCCAAGCTGTCTGTATATTTTTGTCTGTAAGCTCACGTGCCTCTTGGCTGTTTGTGATTATTTTGTACCAATGTGTGCCTGGGTGCCTGGCAGTAGCTCCCTACCTAGTATACGAAGTATGTCCTATTAGCTTATACATTTCTAAATTCCCTTCGACCTCCCAGGTTCCTGTGACCATCCTCCTTTCCTGTATTGGAGTTTGAGACTCACAGATGTATAATCCAGCACAGCAGATGTAGAAAAATAACCTGTGTACACAAAACAATAGGTAACCTACAAGAATACAGTATGATAAAAGAAACACCACCACATATGTCTCAGTGGCTACCCATGGGCTGAGAAGGATAAAACCAATGACAACAGAACCACCTGGCAAACCCACCAGCCTCCACATATGCAGAGCCTCCTATGGAAATGTGAGGAACTGCCCATGAGACACCAGCGAGTTTGTTCCTGATGAGACTTGTAATATATATGCCTGATGTTAGAGAGAGTGGGTGGGGTGGGAGGGTAGAGAAACAGCCAACTCTATTGGCTGAAGCCTGTAACCCGATACACAAGAGGTTGAGACAGAAAGATCACAAGTTCAAGGCCTGCTTGGGAAACTCAGTGAGACTGGGTCAAAATAAAAAGTAAACAAACAAACAAACAAACAAACAGAAAAAGCTGGAGATATGCCTTGATGGTCGAGAGCTTTGCCTAGCATGGGTTCAATCCTCAGTATCACTAAACAGGTAGAGGGGATAACATTCTCTCAAAATCTTAACCCTACCCCTCACCCTTTAGCTCTTGAAGACTAGGATAACATCCTGATATGGGTATACAACTCTACATATAGGTAGTTGCACACATCGTATCATACAGATAGTACAAGAATTAAAATGTATTTGTAATTTTAGAAATGACATGTAGCCACGTGGTCTGATCACTATCACTTCTGAACACTGAATGCCTTTTTTATTTATCACAAACTCTTTGTTGTCCTCTTCCTCACTCCTTGTTGCCTGTACCACCCCAGATCACAACACTGACCGAGCAGCCCTCATGTGTTTTATATGAAGGGAACTGGTACTGCTTTACAGGAAACAGGCCGCACTGTCCACAGTCTATACCTTGCTTTCCTCACCAACATAGACTAGAATATTCTTGACCAACTTACATATACTTTTAAGCAGCTTTGTATTAAATTTTAAAGCATTATCAATTATTGTTCATGCGTTTTGCATGTTCATCTTGAGGCTACAGGTCAACTACAGGTTTTTATTCCTCAGGAGTTGTCATCTTGGTTTTTGAGGCAGAACCTCTCATTGAGACCCAGAGCCTGCCAAGTAAAGATAGGCTGGCTGGCCAGTAAGTCTCAGGAATATGCCTGTCTCCATCTCCCCAGTGCTTGGCTACAAATAGACACTCCCAAACCCGTTTGTTTATGTGGGATAAGGGAAACAAACATGGGCCCTCATTCTTGCAAAGCAAACACTTTGCTGACTGAGCTATTGCCTAAGCCCCTAAACAATTTTAATTATTTACTTATGATTACTGTGTGTATGATGTGCAGATGTTAAGTGTATGCATTTGGAAGTCAGAGAACAACACTATGAAGCTGGCAGTCTTCTTCAACTTTGACAGGAGTCCGGGATTGAACTGGAGTTGTCAGCTTGCATGGTAACTGCCTTTACCTGCTGGTCCCTGAACAGTCACTTTTAAAGATGAATACAAAAAGGGCAATCAGGCTCCAAGCACCCTCTCTGTTCTCCCTCTATCCAGCTAAGTTGCAACCCTCTTGGAAAAAGCCTGGAGACCGGAGCTAGTGGGGCCACTGCTCTGACAGCAGAAAGGACGGTTCACATCAGCCCACAACTGACTTGAGTTCATTTGTATTCTGCAAGTCTGTGGACTAAATCACTGTTAAAAAATATGGCTCTAGCATTTTAATTTCGCTCTTTTAAAATATATATTTAATGGCTATAGCATGATAGCTGTGAAATAAACCCTTCTGTTAGATAGTGTAACCGTGAAATACAGCTTTTTAACTAGTTGGTGGTGAAGTTTTCGCTGCCTTCCATCACTCAACGACTGAAATATTAAATAGGAAAATGAAAGTAAGTAGGGGAAAAGGAGCCTTTCTTGCCCAGCAACAGCCAGATTACAACCAGCAAGGTCAACTGCAAAATGACTATCACCTCTAATGGGACAATTCCTGTCCTCGCAGATGGGCTGCAGCTGACTCACAGCCAACAGCTCCTTCAATTTTCCCAACTCATCTGAGGTTCCTTCCGGAAACTTTGGGATCAGCACTATTCTTTTTACGCTCTTAGGTGCCGACAGCAGAGAGGACCTTTGCTAGAGGCTCAAGTTTAGCTAAGGGTGTGGATGGACAGTGCCTCTCCTCCTTACTCCTGAGTACCAGGCTGCCCTGCTGCCCCTGTGGCTGGAAGAAGACATGAAATGTTTACCCACAATCTGTGGAGTCTCACTTTATCTATTATAACAGAACTTGAGTTCACCTGAAATGTCAATGTGATTCATAAAAAAAAAAAAAAAGCATTCTCCCTTGTAGGTGGTGTGAATCTACGAGTCTGCAAGGCTCCTGGGAAAAGTATTGTTTTCCTGATAAGGAAGACAGATACCTTCGGTATTGATGTCCTTTGATCTTCTTGTTTTCCTGCCTGGAGTGTATGTGTTCTCTATGACGTGGAAAAGACTAGCTCTGCAATGAAAATGGCTGAAGAGAAGGCTGAAAAGAACCCAGGGCTCTACAAACTCCCCGGCACAAAGTCCTACCCCTAACCCTGCCTGTTTCTGAACTTTGTTGCTGTTTAAAAATAGGAAAAGTGGGGTGTCTGCCCCGCATCCCACCATGCTGGTGACCAAAGCCCAAACCCTGGGGCTTGCACATGCTAGGCAAATACCACACCAATAAGGTATCTCTCCAGCCCTGGAGTCAGTTTTAGTCAGTCAAATATCCATCCTAACTGATGTTTAGATAACAGAAACATGAAGGTATTTAATCTGGGAAACAGTTTTCTCACCACGAGCCATTTCAGGAATGTGGCTGAGACCGGCAGAGGCAAGCAAATCTCTGTGAGTTCAAGGCAGCCTGGACTATAAAGTGAGTTCCAGGACAGCCAGGATTCCATATAAAACCCTTTCTCAAAAATAAAATAAAATAAAACAAAATAAAATAAAATAGGATAAAATTAAAATGTGGGTGATACTATTCCCATTTGGCTTTGGCCCCAAGGAAACTCAGATTCAAAACCATTTCCCGGTCTCAGCATATTATTCTAACATATATTTATAGGCATCATACATTTTATTTTACTTTATTAGACTTTTATATTTTATTGTATATTCTCTACATATTACTTTTGATCTTAATGGAATCAAGTGGAATAAAATAAAGTGTACTCTGTGTGTGTGTGTGTGTGTGTGTGTGTGTGTGTGTACATGGGTATGAGATGCACATACACTATAGTTAGGAAGTGCTGACTGGCTAGTCTGCTTACCTTTGTCCTTCTGAATGAATGAATTTTCCTGTTGGTCTCACACCGGCTCTCTAATTTTGGTATATTTCATTGTACACTTTAAAAAGTCAACGTTAAGCAAAACGTGTTTGCCTTAGTCTGAGGTGATACTGAAGAGATTGCAGTCAGTGTTGTAAATTCTAAAGACCCAAATTTCCCAACATCTCTTCCTTTTCCCTTTCTCTTTTAAACAAACAAAAATTTCAGTTTGGGGGCTAGAGCTATGACTGCTTAAGTAAAGATCTTGGCTTTTGTCTTGCAAGCTTGAGGATCAGATCCCTAGCACCCATATAGAAGCCAGGCTGGAGTGTTAACCTGTCTGCCATCCCAGCATTCAAGAGACAGAGGTAGAATCCCCAGAGCAAGATGACTTTTAACCCAATCAACAAGGTCCAGACTCAAGAGAGACTCTACCTCAATGTGTAAGGTAAAGAGTTACTGAGGCGGATGCTTGACTTCATCTTTGGGTTCCCCTCACAAACACACAAGCACAGCACCTATCCACACACATAAACATGCTCACATACTACTCACATACACATGCAAAACACCCACAAATCTCCACCCCACTCCCATCCCCTGTTACTGCCTTAAGGCTTGAACATAAATCTTTTCTCGGATTCTGCCTCTCATTTAGAGAGTGGAAAGCAACACAGGGATTCCCTTTTTGTGAACAAGATATAGGAACTGGACACGGGAAGCTGACAGTACATGAAATATGCATAATAAAGAACAAGCGAGAAGTCCTCGGGCCAAGATGCAAATGTTTCCAGAAGACACTAGAATTTCTGACTGGACTGTCCGTGATATCAACAAACAGGGGCTCTGCCAGGAGGATAACTTCAGCCCAGTAGTCTGAGGGATGATTGGAACAGGTAAATGACACACTCCTAAGCTCTATCCATTTCCTAGTCTGGTGACAGGAACTGGACAGGATTTGTTGGGAGTTTAAGAATACTTCAACAGGCCTGGAGAGATGGCTCCGTGGTTAAGAGCACTGACTGCTCTTCCAGACGTCTTGAGTTCAATACCCAGCAACCACATGGTGGCTCACAACCGTCTGTAATGGAATCCAATGCCTTCTTCTGGTGTGTCTGGAATCTGATGCCCTCTTCTGGTGTGGCTGAAGACAGTGACAGTGTACTTACATAAAACAAATAAATAAATCTTAAAAAAAAAAGACTACTTCAACAAATACCGTGTATGCCTTCTGTACTGGATTCTAGTGTAGGTACTGATGGAGCACCACTGAGGAAAAAAGACAAAGGCCCCATGGAACTTATGATCCAGGAAGAAGAGACAGCTCACCATATAATGAGGGATCTAGTATTAGAAGGCAGGTGTGCAGAAACGGGCAAGACAGAGCAAGTAGCAGTTGCTACCCAGTGAGCATCCTCAGGGGCCCACCCTGCACCAAGCATTTTCCTTCTTTTCCCCTTATTCCTCTTTCTTTCCCCTTTTCTTCCTTCTGCCTTCTTGCCTTTCCTCTGCCTTCTCTCCTTCCCTCTCTTTTTCCTTCATTCACATTTTCTGAAACTCCCTCCTGTACCCTGTGCCTCCCTTCTTTCTCTCTGTCCTTCTTTCTTTTTTAGTTTTGTTTTCTGGGTCTGTGTCTTGTTAAGTAGCCAGGATGTCCTAGAGCTCTTAATCCTCCTGCCTCAGCCTCCCAAGTACTTAGGCTACAGGCTTGGACTGCCTCCCTCAGATTCATGTGCTTTCATTCAATCCTCAAAAGAACACAGAGCTTCTCTTGACAGGTGAAGAGACCAAGGCCTAGGGTCTTTTCGAAGGTCATGCTACAGGCATGCTATAGGCAGGAGAAGGGAAGCCAGCTCAGATCTGTTCCCTCAACAACAGCCACATTTCATGAGGAAGCTTCTAGGAATGCATTCTTTCTTACCCATCTTCCTTCCTTGTTCAAAGGTGGGTTGAAACGCCTCCCTTTGGCCATTCTCTCCAAGGAGCTGAATGTACTGAGTTTGGCTCCTTCAGCTGTCTGTGGCCTCACAAGCTTGTGACATCTATAGAGCTCCTCCACCCGCTGTCCCTGATCTTCTCAGCTGTTGCCCCGGCAGGAAGGTGGAGAAAGCCCACTACTGTCATGGAATGGAAGCTCATGTCACAATGGGCAGAGCCTTCTAAACCCCAAGAGAGAGTTTTGCCATGTATTCCTTGGAACAGGTTCCCTAAGCATGTGCAGAATTCTAACCTCCAGATTCTAACTGACGAAGTCTCAAACCCAGCCTGAGAGGCGAGAGCAAAAAGATGCTGGAAACACAGCAAACATTTTGCACCCTCCTGGATCCAGCATTGTCCTCATGGCAACCACCTGTTTCAATCTCTTAGTTTTCAGAAAACTAACCTGAGTCGTGCTCTGGAGCTGACCTTGTTCACACCAGCAATGTTGCTGTACCAGGACCGAAGCAGCCCCTTTCTCTTTCCATATGGGTTCTCTGTGTCCTAGCTCAGACCTAATCTCCTACTCCCAGGCTCACTTCCTGCCTGGCATAGCATAGACACCACAAGAAGAAAACATTTGAGCATATCTATGTATCAGATTCTATTCTAAACTAAATTCCTTTCCTTGTTTCTCCTTTACTTATTCTCCATTTGGGTCACATCCTTAATAATAAGGTACCAGAAGGCAAAGCAATGTCATGGATCCCCTGTAGAAATCCTCAGCACTGCCAAAGGCTGCCTACCATTCCGAGGCTGCAAAGGCTGCTTCTGAAATCTGGACTCTGTCCCTGAGTCAAGACACAGACCTTCCTCTCTTGTGCTGAGTAATGTGCTTTCTGGGTGTCTTATTTGATGGATGCCACCCAGCCAATTCTCTTGGCTGTTCCACATGAAGATGAGAGTGGACATCCACGGGATGACTCCTTTACATTGAGAAATTTTGTCTTCATCTCCCACCTCCTCAAACCATCTCCTTTCTAGCCCTAACAAGAGTTGCCTTGTCAGTGACAAGAGACCTTACCCTTTTGCCAGCATTGAGAGTCTCTCAACATGGGTTCCTGGGTGTGATCCCTGAGGTACCACAGTCTTGCTGCAGTGGGGATACAAGAACCACAGGCTAAGGAGAAAAGAGGGTCATATCTGAAGCTGAGAACTGACTCGATGTGGCAGCTGTGTTAAAGTCTGGTCCTAGGATACAGGATTCCCTCCTGCTTGTCACCAGTTGATCAATCCCAGGAGGCAGATGTCATCCCCTCTTCCCTGTGTATAGTGACTGAAGTATCACAATACAGGATGAAAAGAAGGAACTGGGAAGCAGGAGGTGAAGTGTTATGTTGGACCAATCCCAGCCCATGCCTGTCATAGTCACAGTGGTCTAAGAAATGTCCCTGGCAGCCACCATTACAACACTTCCTCTCATGGCCCAGAACTGAAATATGTGTGAAAGGTTCTAACAGGCCCAAGCACGGCAAACACAGAGCCAAAAGGTTTTGCCCTTCTTTCTCCCTTGCTGAATAGGTTACATTCTTAAAACTAGCCCCCAACGTCTATCTCCTTATTTGGCCACTGAGCCATTCCTGAGACAAAATACCAAGATCCAGCCATTAAAATTCATTGTTTGGCTACAACCGCTAACTTGTCCAATCAGGACTTATCAACTGATCCTAGCACAGATTCCCCCTTTTTCTCCTTAAAAACCCATCTTGTAAGAAACGCTGCTGCTGTTGCTGCTGCTGCTGCTGCTGCTGCTTGCTGTCTGCTTTTGCCTGATCCAGAGGCAGTGTCCCCTTTCTGCTTGCCCCTCTGGGGTACTAAATCTCCTTTGAGCTGGTAATCAGTGTCAGAGTATATTCTGTACCAACTCCGAGGAGCTCTCCAACCTTTTCAATGTGACCATGAGTCAGGCTTGGTGGTGCTGTAATGTTGTTTAGCTCAAAGTTCTATCAGAGTCCCAAGGTCACCCAGTTCTGCCACCCTGATCTTGAATTTGGACTTTCTTAGATCCTAATTGGGGGGCTGAGGGGTGCTGTCATTCTTTATAGTACAGGTATGGCAGAAAAGGAAGATGCTTGCCACCTGTTCCTGAGCACTGTGGTCATGGGCCCTAGGCAATACTTGATAACTCAAAAGCACATCGGAAAATTAAGAACGGACACAATGCACATACTTCCACGTTTGCTTAGTGCTTCCATGTTTGCCATTACTTAAATGACTTCCAAGTCATCCCTATAAGCTATGTGGATTCTATTTATGCATGCTTAGCCCACTACCAATTCATTTTCTATCCCATCCTGCCATGCACCCTGAGGTCTGATGTGTAAAAAACGCATAACCTAGTTTCCTAGTGTTTGTGTCTGGCTTCATTCATCCAGAAGGGAAGCCCTGATGGGACTGGAAAGGCAGGAGGCATTAAGTGCAAGGAAGAGTGTGCTGCTGTGATATATGACACCCAGCTCTCTGGGAGAACTGCAACCTGACTTGTGGTGGGGTTTGCTAATGTCTGTGCTGTAAGAGCTTCTGCTGTGGTGGGTTTCAAGCTACTAATATCACTGAACACAGGATGAAGAAGAGCTGTATATGAGTCTCTAATATACCACTGAGTCAAATGGCCCAGCTTCCAGGATCCTCCACTAGAAAGCCATGAACTGGAAGCAGCTAAGTCTCTACCAGCATCCATGGCTCCATCCCCACAACCACTGCTCTCCCTTTGAAGGACTTCCTTTGACATCCAGCCGCCTGCCACTGCTGCTCCTGGGGTCTGTATGCTTTCTTGTCAATTCCTGTGATGCTGCTGGGCCACAGATCTTAGAAGAGACTTCAGTAAGCTGTATGTCTGCTCTCTCTGTCTCTCCTCTTTGTCTCCTTTTGGGTACACACATGTGTGTATTTACATATGGAGGTCAGAGGTCGATGTCAGCCATCTTCTTCAGTCGTTTGCTCCCCTGTTTTTTGAGACAAGGTCTCTCACTAAGCCTAAAGCTCACTGGTTTTGATTGGATTACTGGCCAGAAAGTCTATAGGATTTGCCAGCCTCCACTTCCCCAGTGCTGGAGTTACAGTTAGATGCACAGCACAGTACCTGGCTTTTACGTGAGTGCTATACATCTGAACTCAGGTCCTCATGCATGCTCAGAGAGCTTACTGAGCTATCTCCATGTCCCTGCCTCCTCTGTCTTCGGATATACCATCAGTGTCCCTGGTGGGACATTAACAGAAACTGAAGCAGGTATTAGTACCTATCACCACTGGCAGGGAGGGAAGTGGCACCTCAGGAAAACGAAGTGGCTCAGTGTGGTTGCACAGCCAATATGTAATAACATCGCACCAGGCGTGCCAACGCCACTTTTTATGGAAGCATCAAGCAGGATAGTTCAGTTGTGGTCCTCCACTTGCTAGATAGAAAGATAGTGGTTCTGCAAAGGCATGTCTTTATAAACTGGTCAGTGGTGGTGCACACCTTTAATCCCAGCACTTGGGAGGCAAACATAGACAGATCTCTGCGAGTTCAAGGTCTACAAAGTGAGTTCCAAGACACCCAGGGCTATACAGAGAAACCATGTCTCAAAAACTAAAAGAAACAAGAAAACCAACAAAAGTATGCCTTTACTTAAGAATAATTTATCCTTATACAGATACTACTGCAAATCCTCTGTGGGCTCATATCATTGTCCTTACCAACATCAGCCCTCATTAAACAGCAAACATGGTTTCGGCCATCGTCTCCATCCAAAGCAGTCAAGAGTCTGTGGGAGGCCCAGCTTCTCATCTCTGCCCTTGTTTCCAGCTCTGGAGGCTATTCCATATTTTAGAGGATAATTTGATTCTTTCAACTTCCACTTCCCAAGTCTGGGATCACAAACGTATGCTACCATGGCCATCACCATACATATATTAAGAGCTTTCCAGAAAAGGTTTTGCTGGGACCTGTTGTGTGCCAGATGTGCGGCTACAGATGCTATAGATGCTGCCTCAGCTCTCATAAAGCTGGCTGCCTGATGGAGAGTCAAACCTTACCACACAGGTTATAACCATGAGAGGTACACGTTCCCTGAGACTATCTGGCAGAGAAGCCTAAATGAATCTGGAAGGTGATAGGGAAATAAAGACTGACTTCTGTGAGTTCAGAAAAGAGGGGAAAAATAGCTCAGGTAGGTGGACAGCCTGCTTGGAGGCATGATGTCCAGAGGAATTCTCTCACTAAAGAACAGAAGAACTCTTTTGTTGTTGTTGTTGTTGTTGTTGTTGTTGTTAAGGGTAGCTTGAACATTTTGGAGAAGGCCATGCATGGGTTGGAGCTGAGACTGAATGAGAGGGCAAAGAGGCTGATCATCCAGGTAGTTCTGAGAGCTGTAAACAGGCATCTAGTCCTCTATGACCTTGACCAGCTGACCAAGGTCAACGGGAGGCAGAGATGTCAGAATAGGTGAGTTGAACTGGAGAGATGATTAAGTCTGTAAAGTGCTTGTCTTACAAGCAGGAAAATCAGAAATCAATTTCCAAAACCCAATTTTCAAAAGCTGTGAATGCTGGCATACTTATGATCCCAGCTCCTGGGAAGTAGAAAAAAAAAAAAAAAAACAGATACCTGAATGTCTACAGCCAGTCAGCCACACCCAGTGAATAAGCTTCAGGCTAGAGAGCGACCCTGACTCAGACTACATTAAATAAAGCCTGAAGAGTGACACCCAAGGTTATCCTCCAGCCTCCACATGTATGAACACACATATGCTTGTATACCTCCATACACGTGTGCACCCCCACATACACATGAACACGAATGCACACACAGAAAAGAATAGGCAATAGCAACAAAACAAGCTCTAGCTTTTTGAAGGACAGTATTTTTGTGTCTATATGTGCAAGCATTTGTGTGTATGCACATGTGTATGTATGTACACACATTGGTGTGTACACATGTGTGTGTTGGTATGCACATACTCGGGGAATGGAGGAATAGAGGTCTGGTATCTTCTTTCACTCTTCTTATTTTCTGAGACAGGATCTCTTGTTGAATCTGGAGCTTGCCATTTCAACTAGCTTGCCTGGCCAGGAGTATCAAGTAGAATCTTGTTTCTACCCA